GCCGGGGGGTGGGGGGGGGGGTGGGGGGGTGCACGCCTTTAATCCCAGCACCCGGGAGGCAGAGCCAGGCGGATCTCTGTGAGTTCGAGGCCAGCCTGGTCTAAAGATCGAGATCCAGGTCAGGCACCAAAACTACACAGAGAAACCCTGTCTCGAAAAACCAAAAAACAACAAATAAATAAGTAGATAGATAGATAGATAGATAGATAGATAGATAAAAAGAACTCCAAAGTGGAAACATCTTACTGTCCTTGCGTGGCTGAACAGATTGTGTAGTACATCCGTGCTAGGGACTATTGTTCCGTGATTAAAAAATATTGAACCGCTGATGACATGGGACAACATGGGTGAATCTCAAAATAAAAATGCAGGATGTCAGCTGGACTGAAGAGGGAAGAATGTATACTGTTTGGTTCCACTCAGAGAAAATGACAGAAAATGTCAACTAATCTAAAAGCAGCAGATTAGTGGATCCCTGAGGATGGGGCAGGGACAGCCATGAAGGGGAGGTAAAAAGGGACCAGGAAACCCTGACAGTTAACACACAGATCTTTTTACTCTGGTTGTGGGTGGTGAGGGATTCATGGCTATTGTCAAAATGTGTACACCCCTGCAATCCCAGCACTTAGGAAGTGGTATAGCAAAAGGACCTCAGTTCAAGGCCCCCCCCCTAGGCTACATGCTGAGTTTGAGGCCAGCCTGGATTACAGGAGATGGTGTCTCCAAAAACAAACAAAAAACAATAATGAAGTTACAAATATAAGTATGGGTAACAAATGTCCTGACGGCCATGTCCCTCAGCCCCCATCCTGCTTGACACTGTGGGATCAGTTTATGCTGTGTGGCTTTGCATAAAGCTGGCTCTCTCTGCATTCAACTTTCTTATCTTTCAGGGGAGAGACAAGACCACACCCATCTCACAGGGCACAGGGCCCCACAAACACAGTTGGGTCTCTGTCTAAGAGGGCCTCTCACCTTGAATCAGCTGGCTGGCTGATTGTAAGGCAGAAAAACAGGCATGTCAGCATCCGGCCAGCTTGTCCTGAGAGGTACCCAGGGAGCCTGTCCCGTGGGACTTGTCAGAGGTTGGCCTCTAGGCAAAGGACATGAGCAGGGCACCCCTCTTAGGGAAGGCTGGAAGCAAGGTAGGCAGAGAACTAGCTGAACCTCAGTCTCTGGGAGGGCAGCATTGGCCTCCTGTTCATGTCAGGGCTGGGGACAAGGCCAGGTTGGCCCAAGGCCCAGAGGGGCGGGCCAGCTCAGCACCATGGGTCTCGGAGGTAGGGAGCCTGCTGGGACCTCTCTCTGGACACAATGTCCTAGACGGCTTCACAGCTTGGCTGACTGACAGGGAACAGTGGCTGGCAGAGGGTATGGGCAGCTGGCCGACTGGGTGGGGGGCAGCCAGCCTGAGCAAAGGGCTTGTTCTTACAACCTGTCCTGCCGCCTTGGCCAAGGAGAGAGCCAGCTCTTTGGAGGAAGGAGCTTGACACCCTGCAGGGACCTCAGCAATTCCTCTCTACCTGGTATCTCTGTTTCCCTGTATCACTGACTGCTACCATTTGAGCAAAATTCTTTAAGAGCAGAACCCCCAGCCGGGCGGCGGTGGTGGTGGTGGTGCATGCCTTTAGTTTCAGCACTTGGGAGGCCGGGACAGGTGGATCTCTGGAGTTAGAGGCCAGCCTGGTCTACAGAGTGAGTTCCAGGACAGCCAGGACTGTTTCACAGAGAAACCCTGTCTCGAAAAAGAAAAAAAAAAAAAAGCAGACCCCCCAAAATGCTGACCTGGATTGCTCACCTGACTTCCTTCCTAGCCCTGTGACTTGATGAAGTGACAGCCCCTTTAAAACTCCGCCCTTTTAAGTTTTGAGACAGGGTCTCACTCTGCAGCCTCGGCTGGCCTTGAAGTCACAGAGTTCCTCCTGCCTCTGCCTCGTGAGTGCTGGGTTTAAAGGTGTGCGCCACCACACGTGGCTCTGCAATAGAGCTCTTTAGCTGAACCGTGGCATCTGCTTCTTTCAGGGGTGAGTACCAAGCAGGCCTTGAGATGGGGACTCTCACCCAGAAGGCACTTAATGGAATAAGCTTCACTATTGTGACCACCTTAATAAGCAGTAATGGCCTTTGTTTATTAAAGGCTCCTGTGTGGCAGGAACTTTATGTGCATTGTTGAAAACGCCATAGTCAGCTCTTCCCTCTCATTTTATATGTGAGGGACTCACAGGAGACAGTAGAGGAAAAGGTGCCTTCTCTCTACTAGCCACCCCTGTGGGCCAAGAGGACAGGCCAGCTGAGTGGCCCCTAGAGGGTTCTCGAAGCCGGGGCTGGATCAGCGAAGGGCTAAGGGGCTCCTTGGGACACAATGGATGACCCCAGATGCCTGGCCTCATTATGGACATGGTTGGCAGAGTCCCAGGCCCATGAGCCAAGTACTCAGGAAGGCTGGGCTGGGGGGTGGGGTTGGGGGCAGAGGGTTATAGGCATTCCTTCACTCATTCAGCAAACATTGACTGAAGGACATAGAGTGGAGCTGGAGCCGTGTCCTGAACACGGCAGTGTCACTTACAAAGTTACAGCTTGTCAAGAGAATGACTGCCAGTTTCTCCAGCCTTTTTTTTAAAGATTTTTTTTTTAATTTATGTGTTAAACTGTGTGTGTACATGTGGATTTATGCATGTGTGTACAGAGGCCAGAAAAGGGTGTTGGGTCCCCTGGAGCTGAAGTTATATGCGGTTGTGAGCTGTCTGATATGGGCCCTGGGAATGGACTTGGGTCCTCTGTGAGAGTACCAAGCACTTGGAACTGCTGAGCCACCTCTCCAGCTCCCCTGAAAAAGTTCTGTATTTCCTTCTCTAGTGCTGGGCTACAACCCAGAGGCTATGATAAGAAAATGCAAACCAGGATGTCCCATGGAGTTCCTTCATTCCTTGGTTTCCTCAACTATAAAAGGACACCATGCTGCCCCTCCCTCCCCTTTGTCATTGGAGGTAAGATGAGCCAAAGCCCTGGCTCACATTCCAGGGTATTGAGTGGAGCAGGACAATGGTTCTCATCCTGTGGGTAAACCAGGCTTCGGAGAGAGAAGGAGAAGGTGACTGTCTCCACTTTGCAAATGAGTCAAAGCTGCCAGAGGAGGCCCAGATGTCTCCCCATCCTAGAAAAAAATCACTCTTATTAGGTGATTAAGACAAGTGGTGGAGCCGTCTGGGACTGCTTCAGTTCTGAGGCCAGTCTGGGCTGCTCGGTGAGTCCCAGAGAGCCTTTCATCCTCCCAGCAATTGGGAGGCTGGGGCAGGTGGATCTTTGCCACTTACAGATAGGCCTGGTCTTTGTTGTAAATACCAGGCCAGCCAGAGTTGTAGTGTGTGTGTGTGTGTGTGTGTGTGTGTGTGTGTGTGTGTGTGTGTGTGTACACACACGCACGCACGCACGCGCTTCAGACAAACAAGTTGGCACAGACAGTGGTCCACTAGGTGTCCCGTGCCTGGTGGTCAACTGGCACTGGACAACTGGACATGGACTCCAGCTTCACCTGTGGCCGAGCCAAGAGACAAGTAGGACCACAGACTCCCTGAGCAGAGACCAAGGTCCACAAGGAGTTGACTGCCCCAGGTACTCAGGGCGGGGTTCTCGCCCTGTACTATGCCAGGTTCTCTGAGAGAACATCAAGGGCCATTAAGTAAGCTCCCCAGTCACTGGCTATATTCACCAGGTGACAAGGCTTTTTTTTTTTTTTCCCTTACTATGTCAGAAGGAAAGGCCATTTTGTAGATAGGCATACTGAGACTCAGAGGCACAACTGGCCCAAGGTCACCGAGAAGAGGCAAGGCCCAGGCACCTGCATGCTTCCCTGACCAGGTGGGGTGGCCGTGGAAGGAAAACTTCCTGAGCAGGAGACCTCCCCCAGAGCAAGAGAAGCCGCGGTCCCAAGTGGGGCTGGGCTGTTCACTCTGCGGTCATAGGCAGCCATGCCCGTAAGCAGTGGGAGTGCCCAGCTTGAGCTAGCCCTCAGTTTCCCTGTGGGCAGTAAGGGGAGGCTGGGCTCCATGAGGCTCCCCTCCCACCCCCCCACCCACCCCCGCCCCGCAGAGCGCACAGGAGGAAGAAGGAAAGGAAGGTTATGTAAGGCGAGTCGAGGGCCCGGCAGGCGGGGACGTCCTCCTATGAATAGCCTGCTGTTCCCTGCGCGTGACTGCACGGCCCCCACGGCGCCCGCCGTGCTGGCCTCCGCGTCCCGGGCCTGGGGAGGGAGGAGTGAGCCGGGATGCAGGGAGGGAGTAGGAGAGTTGGGATGCGGGGGGGAGGAGGAGGAGCTGGTGTGCCAGGAGTACCTGCTTGCTGGAGCCCCACTCGCCCCCCGCTGTCCGGGGCGGCGGTTCAGTTCCTGCAGCCGGCTGGCGCTGACTTCGTCATCCGCCTTGGCGATGTTTACGCGGGGCCCCGCTGGCCAGAACTGATTCTGCAGGTGCCGGGGCTGGTACAGCCCCTCACTCCTGAGAAAGGACGAAGGGGCACAAGGCCGCTGCGGATCGCCCTTTGCATTACCTCTCCCGATCAGGACATCGTCCTCCACTTCGCTGTTGCCCCAGGGAGGCGTCCCTAAAGCAGGGCTACAGTCACTGGGAGGCTGCTCAACATTGCTGGATCCAGGTTTCCACACCAGGGCCCCCTGCACTTATGCACGGGTCACCTTAGCAATAACTGAACCTCTGCATCCCCAGGGTTTAATTGGATTTTGCTTCACTTTCCGACAGAGTCACTATGTATCCCTGGCTGGCTTCTAAACTCAGAGGGGTGGTCTGCCTCTACCTCCCCAGTGCCAGGCCCCTCCCCAGGGTTTCTAAGGTTTGGAACCAAGCTGGGTAAGTAGGAGGGGCAGACCCGGACTGAGGCCTGCATTGATTTCATGAGCTGGGTGAAAAGTCGGGACAGACAGGACTTGATGGCCTCCCTGGAGGATCAATGGGGCCAACCACGTAGGAACTTGACCTCAAGTGTCCCCACCCTCTGTTCCCCATCCTCTTAATGCCCTTAAGAGATACAGCCAACCCCAGCCTCTATAAACCCTAAGGCGTGGACTTTGCTCACACTTCCCCATTTTACAGGGTTTGGATTAGGACATGAGACATGGACAAAGGCCGTTCTAGAATGGGACAGACTCAAGACCCAATTTAATTCCCTTACCCAGGCATTTGTTAGACACTGGGGTTGGAGAGATGAATAAAAATGAAGGTCCAAGCCCGGCCGGCGGCGGTGGTGGCGAGAGGCAGAGGCAGGCAGATTTCTGTGAGTTCGAGGCCGGCCAGGGCTACACAGTGAAACCCTGTCCTGTAAAAACAAACAACAAACAGTTTGGACGGTGGTGGTGTGCACACCTTTAATTCCAGCACTTCGGAGGCAAAGGCTGGTGTTTCTCTGTGAGTTCGAGGCCAGCCTAGTCTACAAAGCCAGTTCCAGGACAGCCAAACTCTGTCTCGAAAAATAAAAAACAAAACAAAAAAGGTCCAATAATTACAAACATGCTGGCCCACAAAGAGAAAGACGGCAACCACAGCCATCATCATGATTGTTGTCTGATGGTGTAGAGGTGGCTCACTCAGCACTGGAAGGTTCCTAGGCAGAGACAGGTGGGGTCAATCCACACAGCCGGAACAGCTTGTTCAACTGCTCAGAGGCCCGAAATAGCAATCACTTTGGGGATCTGGGAGCACCTGGGTGAGGCTGAGGCTGACAGGTTGCAGATTCAAGAGAGGCTGCCCCAAGGAGAATCTTGGCCAGGAGAAGGGTTGAATTTTGTTCTGTGCACAGCAGGGGGAAGAAGGGAAGAGGGAAAGATAAGCCCCAGCTTCCCTCCCACCCCAAACTCCATCTTAGCTGTGGAGCTGGTTCCTTCAACAGCTACTGAACTAGGGAGGCCGGGTCCATCCTAGCTGGGCATGATGTGCTTGGGTGTCTGGCTTGGAACAGGCCTCTGTGTCCACCTTGGGTCATCTATAAAATGATAGTACTTGGCCGGGTGGTGGTGGCACACGCCTTTAATCCCAGCATGCGAGAGGCAGAGCCAGGCAGATCTCTGTGAGTTCGAGGACAGCCTGGGCTACAGAGTGAGTTCCAGGAAAGGTGCAAAGCTACACAGAGAAACCCTGTCTCGGAAAAAAAAAAAAAGACAGTTCTACTCCCTACCTGGTCCCTCCTGGTGCTGAGAGTGTGGAGCAGGGTGTGGAGCAGAGGATAGCTCCATCAAACCAGAGTTTGCATTTGCTCTCCTGGCCTCCCCATAGCCCTCCACCGAGATGGGAAGGGAGCTGTCTGCCAAACAGTGCTCCTCCCATCCACGCCCAAGCCCACTTCCAGGATCACAAATACTAAGCCAACACTGTTTCCTTGTGTCCAGAGACCCCCAAATCTCTCAAAGTGGGGTCCCAGGGACAACCTCCCTGGTCCTCATTTTTTCAGATGCAGAATGGAATCTGTGAGGAATGTGACCGATGACCCCTTTTGTCCCTAGATAGGTGCTCACTGCAGACATAGCTTCCCCAGGACAAAAAGGAGTAGATTAGGAGCCCCCTGCCCCTCCCCCTGCCATGTCCCCTCTGCTATTCCCAGCCTCTGCCAGGGACATCCTGTGCCCCTGTGATGTCACTAGGCCCTGGGAGCCCAGGCTGTAGCTGACAGGATGTATTTTTAAACTCTCGAGCCTTGGCCAGCTCCCTACCCTCCACTCAGCTTACCCCACCTCCCACTCCCTGTTCTGTTTCCCATATCTGAAATTAGTCCTTACGCCCCTCCCTGGGAGGCATCCTTCAGGCTTTTTTTCCCCCCTTGATTATTTATTTATTGTGTTTTATTTTATTTTTATATATTATTTTATTTTATAATTAATTTGATTTTACATATCAGCCACGGATTCCCCTGTCCTCCCTCCTCCCACCCCCCAGCCTTCCTCCCCAATGCACCCCCCATTCCCACCTCCTCCAAGGCAAGGCTCCCCTGGAGAGTCAGCTCAGCCTGGGAGATTCAGTTGAGGCCGGTCCATGTGGTGGCCCTTCAGGCTTTTGAGAGGCCAATGGGGAACTCAGGCCAGTGCTAAGTGTTTATGGTCAGGACAGAATCCAGGCCTGCCCAGGGAAACAGATAAGTCTCTGGAGAAGGAGCTGCTTTCACCTCTGGGTGACCCTAAAACCTGAAGAGTACAGGGGGTTCATGATCTCATGTCCAGGGCTAACATTCACCGAGTGGACTCCCTATACAACTGAAAGTCCTGGCTGGGTCTAAGCTGGGTTTGATTTTCTTTTTTCTTTCTTTTTGTCATTTCGAGACAGGGTTTCTTTGTGCAACAGTCCTGGCTGTCCTGGGACTTTCTTTGTAGACCAGGCTAGCCTCGAACTCAAGAGATCCACTTGCTTCTGCCTCCAGAGTGCTGGGATCAAAGGCGTGCGCCACCATGCCTGACTAGAATCTCTGTCTCCTAACAGTTCAGTTTAGAATGGCAAGAGAGCGAGACATAGGCTCTGGACCTGGACAGACAGAGTTTGAATCCTGCCCATGGCATTTCTCAGCTGTCCTGCTTTGGGCAGATAACCTCAGCTCTCTATGCCTGTTTGCTCACTTGTACAATGGGGTTAACAGATGTAATTCCTGAGAACACTGGGAAAGATTGCTTGGGAACACACTTGAAAAGCACCCAGCGTAAGGCCTGACATCTAGGAGTGTCCAGCCAGTATCAACATGGTCATCCCTCTTATAAACACTGCTGGGAATCTTTAAAGGTCTAGCCATGAATCTTAGGACTCCACCATGGTCCTTGTCCCAGGGCTCATATGTCCAGAGGTCCAGGGAGGGATGAGGGAGAAGGCAGCTCTGACAGGGCCTCCCGGAGAAGAAAGTCCGTGACACACACACACACACACACACACACCCGAGACCGGAGTTGTCAGAGCACCCCTGGCCAGAGTTACAGGCAATTGTGCAGTGCCTGATATGGATGCTGGGAACCAAACGCAGATTTTTTTTTTTTGTTTTTTTGTTTTATCGAGACAGGGTTT